TCCATTGGCATCTCTGCTGCCCATGCGCCCGAGGCTTCGCGTATCCATTGTTCGAAATGTGATTAGCGACAAGATCTAGTGATCTGTCGAGGTCCTTCACCAACACGTCGGGCGGATGTTGACATCACAGGCTCGGCCTGGTGGACTGTTCCTCGGGATCTTCCCCACGCCAATCCGAGGTCCAGCCAACGCTTGGGAACGCAGCGGAGTATTTCACTATTCAGGGCCATCGATTTTGCGCCGCAGGAACGTGGCCGTGCTTCCTGAGGGTGTATCGCGTTGCCGACGGCAGACAAGATTCCTCCATTGTGACACTTTCAAGCTCGATACTTCTGGGTACTGACAAATACCAACACGCCCTGGAACCCTGCTTTGGGCGATCTTCTGCCCTGCACGTAAAAAGTTTCTCGTTCAAATTCGTGGGAACGAAATGCTCCTAAGTCATCGGCAGGTTCACAATGTCGTCCTGGCCGCAAGCCTCGTGGCATTGACGACCTACCTAATGCGGCGCAGTCTTGTATGTGTCGAGCTATTCCACTTTCCACACAAAACAGGCAAACAGGCCTGGACTCTGACTGGTCTTGCTCTATAAGCCCTCGTCTTCTTGTGAGGAATACACATGCCTGCTTTCCTGGCCCAGCAAAATCCCATGATCAAAGGACAAACCCTTCGGGCGGCCTCACACTAAGATTACAAAAGTCCCTTGGTCCCTATCTGACATGTGCACGCTAGGCATCACTGTTGCTCGATGGCGGAGGCTTTCCCTTTCCAGGTCATCTGAATCTGGCAAGGATGGCTGTGCCCAGGTATGGCATCGCTCATGATCAAGACGGCTCTTGAGTGTGGAAAAGACGGCACGGATAGCCCACTTCTCTACCAGCAAGCATGGAATCGTACGGATTGGCGGCAGAAAAATGTGGCAGACTTGTGACCATGACGCGGACGCAGCTCGTACGAACACTCGAGACGATCATCGCGGGGAACCAGGGGTGCGTGAGGGGAAAACAGCTGCTTATATTACGATGCAACCTTGCTTCGCACGCCATGTCAGGCGACGTATGGCAAAATCCTAGCGACAGAATAATATTCTTGCAGCCGCAGACCTCGGCCAACCTTCGATAACGGTTGTGTACACAGATAGAGCCATCGACTCGACTTACCCA